AGAATTCTCATGTTTTGTTTTATTGTGCACTGCTTCATTTTATTTTTACTATTATATCGTCATATCCTGTGTTCTGTTTTAATTTGGTTTAAACTGGTAGAACAGATAATCTGACTGTGTAAATTAGTAAAAAATTATAAATTATATGTATGTTGTTACATACAATTTTATTGTTCATTTTATTATATTATTTTGGTGAAAGCTATAAATAAACTACTACTACAACTACTGCTACTACTATATTTTTCATATCCTACAGTGCCTCCAAAGCCAAAACATCTACAGAATTTGTCTTCATCCATTACATACCAAATTCCCAGGCATAAAGCTTTACCGAGATCAAATCCAAGAATGGAGGAAGTTACATCTACCTCTGCTTCTTGTGTCTCAAAAGAAAAATCCAGCAAGGTGTCCGATCTCATCAGTCATTTTGAAGGAGGCAGGTATGTAATGTACTGCCTTGGTAAAGGAGTGGGGAAGGGACAATGTTTCAGTTGTTTTAAAAATCATACTGTTTGCATATGAATGAACTATAGTATGTTGCGTAAGTGAATGGGAGCATATGCAGTAGACAGATGCAGCCACAGGGTGTTCTTACTAAAGTCAACAGATGTCTTGAAACTGGTTTAAATGGGAGCACGGTAGTGTCCATAATCAAATGTATGTAAATGACTCTTCAGGTTTTGTTGCTTCTCAGTGTAACTTGTATTTTGTACAAGTCACTCCTGGGAAGCAACAAAATATCTACATAGGTAGACATACTACTGGTAGACATACTACTGACGTCTACTTGTAGTATTTTATGATAAGAAAAAAAATCTTTCAATTAAAATATGCTCTATATTATAACGTCTATATTTTGTCACTCTTGTGTTGTAGGGCAGTATTTTTCCTACTGCTTACAATAGGCTTTCAGGTAGTACCTGCGTGTGTGTATAATGCAAATTATTTATGAAGTGTTAGTCTCTCTAGTAAAACCTGAAGTAAAATAAAGAATTTTCTTGAAATAATATTGAATAATGTTCATAGCTGGGAATAAGCAATATAAAATCTCCAGGTAACTTATAATTCCTTATTTTTTTAAATAAACCTATACAGGCCCTGCCCTACTTTGCCAATGGGATGTCTAAATCTGTGTGGCCTCTTGTCAGGACAAAAAGGCATCTTGCCTCTGACGGCTTCTCTTTTTCTGTCCAGGGTTAGAATTATGCTTTGACTCTTGGGGCGGGGTCTGCAAAAAAAAATTGGGAGGCCCATCATGATGACCTAATAAAATCGGAGACTCCCCCCCATCTTATGATTTTCAAATCTTACAGGGGACGATCATCTCTTATGGGGGAGGACTCAGCCTCCTCCAGGCTCACCCATAATTCGAGCCCTGATCCTGTTCTGTGGAGGCATATGGCTCTTCGATTTTCTGAGTGGCCTCTTGGCATTCTTCCAGAGCCCAGAGCAGAGAGCCTCCTAAAGGCAGGCAGTGAGAAATACTTGGCTTGGAGAGAAGTGAACTTCTGCCCTTTGGGCTGTATGTTATGCATCCCCACTGTCGTGGGATCCAAATTACCCAGAGGGGAGGCAATTATCTGAACAGAGGAGAGGATAAAAAGGACCCGCTAATTTTTTCCTGATAGTCTAATGGTCAGGACACTTTCCTGGGAACTAGGAGAGGCCATAACCCAGAATGTGCCCTGTCTGAGGCAGGGCTGAGGGCATCCTCAATCATTCCTGCTACCACTGGGCTGCTGTGCAGAAAAGAATTCAAGAACAAAGCAGCCAGGAGAACATGAAAGCTGGAGCCTTGCCCTGGAAGGCTCATGCTGCCCTAGGAGGAAGGGAGCCCTGTGCTGTCTATACATTGCACTAAATAGTCTTAAACAGCTTTGGGAGCAGAACCCAGGGCTTCCAGTGCCAACCTCCACTGCACCTGGTTTTCCTTCTATTCCCTCGATTCTTGAATGATGTAAAATAAGAGGAGTAAGATTTAAACTAATATAAACTCAAACTAGCCAATTGCCCGTCACGCATGATGGAGCATTTCAGGGAGAACTTACTTCCCTCCTCTCTCGCCTTCCCCCCCCACTATGTTTGCAATGCAAGACTACGGCCTTATTTGTTTTTCATGGAACAGGAATATAAATGACGGTGTCACCTCCAATCCTCAACAGACCTGAGTCCTGAATGCCAAATCTGTCCCTTGGCTTTAG